TTCTTCTACACCACGGTAGACACTTGTAGCCCAGTCTCATTTCTGAATAAAAGAACAGCTGATATTTTGTTGAAGAAGTTACCGAAAGTTTAAGGACCACATATGTTGACTATAATAAAAGTCCTATCAAATTTTTTGGTTCTCTTGAAATCCCGATTTCGTCGCATGGATGGAAGGTTGACGGAGCTCGATTTCTAGAGTCGGAGAATAGGACGCGGACCTTTTTCGGCCAATATCTTCATGAGCAGCTGGGGATAGAGACCATTCAACGAAAACCACTTGAAGTGAACAATACAGAGGCTGCCGAGGAGATGGACCCTACCTCCAAGCTCTGGAGAGATCATTTTGTAAACAGGAACCCTTAAGAATTGCCAACTGGGGAGGTCCAAAAATCATAAATTATTCACTAATTTTAAAGACTCACTTAATCCTCGACAAGTCAGAGGCAGAAAGGTACCTATTCACTTACAAGACCGGGTTACGACAGAAATATAAACATGAATCAGAGATAAACACATCGAGAAATTAGATAAGTGTACGACGGACCTTTTTTTTTGCAGCAATCGATCTAACTGCAAAAAAGACGGATCTTTTAAACGGGCGCCGCAAAACTTATGAACGCTCGAATTTGGATGAATAGATACCAAAAGCCCAATATGAATGAGTTAATCGATTCAGCGGCTCAGATAATCACTAAGAACCCACCTGGTAGAGTGTGATTTACCTCTCTTGATCTGAAATATGCTTCTGGCCAGTTATTTTATCCGATCTAACTGGTAGTCATTGTAACTTCAGCATTTTGTGTGGAGAAGTGACAGGCAAGTACCGATTCAAAACCGGCTTCTTTGGCCTTACAGATATGCTCACAGAATTTCAGAAGGCAATAGGTTGCACACTTCATGGTTGCACACTTCATTGCACACTTCTTGGAATTGCACACTTGCACACTTCAAGAGTTATATATTACCTCGATGACATACTAGTGGTTACGAAATGCGAAAAAAGAAATTGAGGGCCACAACATGCTGGTTGCAGAAGTCATGAAACGATTGAATGAAGAAGGATGGGCATTGAAACTAAGTAAATGAGAGTTCTCAGTCTAACTTATCTGACTGGGGTAGGAAATCGACGAAACCGGTTACGCCTCAAGTGTTCGTAAATCGAGGCTATTGGGTCTCTTAAGGCACTGAAAACGCTCAAACAACTGAAGTCATTTATGGGTAGTCCAGACCATCTACAACGCTTCATACCGGATCTTCACCAGTACACGGTTTCATTTCTCTCATCGCCAAAAGTGTGTAACAAGTAAGAACAAAATGTAGCTTGCATGAACATCCTAGATCTCATAGCATACATTCCCAGTCTCTACCATTATGATGCTTCAAAAGCATCTAGGGTCAATTGCGACGCAAGTCATAGTGGGTGGGGGTATGTTTAGAACAGGATGTAGAACTAAATATTTGGGCCAAGATAGCTTTTGCTTCAAGTTTTTTTTACTTCAGCAGAAAAGGAAGACAGTACTAATGACTTAGAACTACTAGCTATTGTTTGGGCGTGCAAACACTTCCGCTCAAATTTACTCGGAAAACGGTTTGTCATTCTCACCGATCACAAAGCTATCAATTCTACACTCAACGATACCTATGGTAAACAATCATACTAATCAAGAATTTCTAGGTGGGCGGATCGCCTCATACCCTTCGACTACGATGTTAAACACGTACCGGTAACATCACTCGGTATTGTCGACTATATAACTAGAAACCCATTATTTGAGGCCCCTCCACCTTCGTCATATGACGAATTGTTCATTATTAAATCAATACAGGCCTTCAATAATGCTTTGAACTCAATTCATATTTCGGGACGGAGAGAAGTTGTACTAGTATGCACAACTTCTCAATTAGCCAAAACGCAGCAAATCAAACTGTTTGGTAACCTTTCAGTCAAAACCGGTCGCCTTGTTACTACAAAGATTGACCAATTACTTAAAGTGACGTTCAACCAATCAGAGATCAGCAACCGATGGTTATCTTTGCCATTAGAGGGCGTCGAAATTGTCAACCAAGATTTTAACCAATCGCAAAAAAAAACTATTAATTTTATGAATTAATTCCTCGCCGCTAGAGGTCGGAAAATCATGTTCTCGACAGCTCAACCAATCACAATTCAGTATGCAAAACTTATGCACATCAAACTCGCCGGTAGAGGTCGACTAAACATGCTCTATTT